TTTGAGGGCTGGGAAGTGTACTCCGACTTTTGTCAGTGAAGTTCCCCTGGTGTAGTTCAACTGCTGACGCTTCACGCCTCCTTGCCCTCCAGGCCGTCCCCTCTCTCCGACATGATGAAGTACTTCGTGCTCGTGCTGTGCGTGGCGGCGGCCGCCCGGGCCCAGGACTGGACCAGCAACCTTCCGAAGCCCGTCGTGGACTGCATGCAGAACCCCGGCAACTGCGGCGGCGGCGCGAGTGAGTGCCAGCACCAGACCACACAACAAAAACTAATTTATTTTTCCAGCAAATGTGACTTACTTTGTTTATTTTGCACAGGTGGCTCCATTCCCCAGTTCCCCGGTGGCTCTATTCCCGAGTTCCCCAGTGGCTCCATTCCTCAGTTCCCCAGTGGCTCCATCCCCCAGTTCCCCAGTGGTATTCCCCAGTTCCCCGGCGCATCCGGTTCCGGCTCTAGCTCTGGCTCCAGCTCCAGCTCCGGTTCATCCTCCGGCTCCAACGGCCTCCCCTCCATCCCGCAGGGCTACCCCCAGTTCCCCCAGATCCCCAACGCCCCCAACATGCCGAACATCCCCAATGTGCCCGGTATTCCCCAGATCCCCGGCACTGGGTCATCATCTTCAGGGTCGTCTTCCTCCTCGTCAAGCAGCAACTAATTTTTCACCTACAATCCGTCCAAAGGACATAGGAACGATGAAATTTATTATCAAATCGATGTTACAGTAATAAAATTGTCTGAAAATTCGTCTAAAGTTGTGTGTCGGCTGTCTTCAATTCTTTATCCAATAATATATTCGACCAAGAAACAATGTGTAACATAATGAATAGAACATTGCCAAGGGTAGCCTATATGCTCATCATTGACAGGCAGAGAGAAATTACAATGAAAAAGACAGAAGCTCCATGAAAAAATTTATTGGGTAAATATATTTATTGCAAAGCAATATTTTAGTATCAGCTTATTTTATAAATATAATAAAACATACACATTTAAGGACAAAAGTACACAGGTAATGTAGGTTGCTGATGATACACATGCGGTAACAAAGTACAGAACAAGTTATCTTAACTCCAGACGGAGTTATGTTTAGTTTGCATTTTGAAAGATAGCTTTCAAATAACATGTCTTCTGTACACTTTCAAAAACAAAACAAGAAGGAAAAAACATTGATTCACAAAATTAGATAAAACGCGTTCAATCCAGAAACAGATTTAAAATACTTAAATGTTTGGAACATCACAAATACTGAGAGGGAAAACTACGGTAAAATATACATGAACAGCTTTCCACATAGATTGTTTTAAAAGATAGTTAGCTATCTATGATGCCAAATAGATTTACAAAATGACCATTCTGAAGAGTTTTACAACATTAAAAACAAGAATAAGGCTTCAACAGACCGCACCGTCCTAGCTTTGTTTTAAGGAGACTAAATGCTTTCAAAAAGAGTTGTGAAAAAAGAAAAAACGGTATTGAGAATAACAGACTGGACCAGCAGACTGAATCTTTAGATTTCTCTTCATAATACATATATGTAGAGTAAATAATACACAAAAAATTTCCGAGGTTTTTCAACAGCAAACGTGGATTCAATTTGATGAAACATTTTACTGCAACACATATGCAAATTACAAAAATGTAGTCCAAATAACCATACCTAAACTGATCAAAAATCTATGTAGATACCTCTATAAACCGATGTGTAACAGCACCATTATTAAGTAGGGCAAAATGAAAAGACAACCATGATTAGGGCACAAAAAATAATCAACGCTGCCTTTTATTTTTTAAATCACATATAAACTGGGTGCAGAGAGAAACTTGCCTAGGGCAATCTCTCTCAAGAACCAAAAGAGGATTTGCTCCAAAATGCAGAGCACATTTCCATCTTGCCCGCACCATGCAGTTCCATAAACAGATAGCATAACATAACTCATACGATCTACATCATCACAAACAGCTAAGACATTAATCAATATGTAACATGTAAAAGTAAATTTCTGATGATAACCAATATCTCTTTTGTAAAATATCTATTATTGCTAATATCATTATGAGCCGAACTGACCAATGCCTGGTCAACCAAGGTGTAACAAAGCAGCAACAAAGCATACAATGCTAATACAGATGGCAAGAATCCATTTAAAAAAGTAGTACAAAAGGAAGACCTGTTGATGTAAGGCACATTACAAATATGTGAGTTTCTTGAAATGATAGTAGTACAATCTAAAAGGACAACTTCAAAAAAAAAAAAAAACACTTTTTGTTTTAAAAATGACTATTAAAGGGGACGGAGGTTAAGATGGCAACAGGCCACAATATTAACCAAATTTTGTCTTTGAGTTGCAAATAGTAGCAAAGGCAAGGCACAAAACTGAGCGTGCATGCATGTACTGATCATCCATGCATGCAATTTAATAAAAACACTTATTATTTACATAAAACAGATAGAAACAGGGCTACCTCTTTAATCATCACATTTTTTTAAAAAGTATAACTTAAAAAAAAAGACAACATCAAAAGTTACATTCTTAATACATACAAGAAGTCAAATTAGCAACATAGTAATAAACATAACACAATCATTCAGTTTCTTGAATCTAATGGCAATTGTCATAATGAAAGTCGTTCCAATCACAAGTTTAAAAGGTACTAAAGATATTAACATCAAAATGTAGTAAGTTAAGTAATGCCAATTCATTGTGCATGGACAGATATCTTCAAACAGGGAACCAATTACAGTTGCTATACTTTCAGTCAGTACACCATTCTATAAGTGAAAGTAGTAAAACTACCGACCAGCTACTCTTCACAACAATCCATTGAGAATACTGATTCACTGAGGAACTTTTAAATATGGAACCTCTTTAAGTATGGAAATAACTCTCCTTTGTCTGAGTATTTTCTTTTATGAATTGGCAGTTGAGTTAAAGTCATGAACAAGGAAGAGCAGCTTTCACTACAATCTAAATCTCCAACAAAACTGATAACAATATTGTAATGCAAAAGGACATACTTCTACTGACCGCACTCTATACCTTACAGAGTAAAAATGGACGGCAGTTCATCATTCCAATACTAATGGATTTAGCTCATAAGGTAGTATGTCTTTAAAATATGAATTCATCAGTAGCAAAAAGTAATAATAAATAAATATCAGGCTGAAATGCATGCCACCATATTACAAACACACAAAGTACAAAAAGCACTAAGCAAATCACAGGTTCAACAGAAATTAAAATATGGACCATAACATTTTTTGGCATGTAGGGCGTTTTAAAATAACTGCCTTTCACAAGTGTTGTCTTTGTTCAACAGTCCACTCAACCAACTGCAACCGAACTGATTTCGTCTTCGGCAGCCCTTTTCATTTCATCAAAAGATATGAAGACAGTAGTAGTTCAAATAGAATTAGGTAATACAAATAAACTTTAGGTTTAAGATACCTGATAAGATTCAAAAACGGTTACCTGCATTTAAATGCATGAACACCACATCAATATCCATTGATCTGAAAGGGTGCAGAGACAACAGCGGGAGGAGTGACTTAACGGAAGTGGGTGATCAACTGCAAAAACTCCGCTGCACTTTGGTCAGCGGAGGAAACAGTCAATTTGTCACATGAGTGCTAAAAAGTAATGCGTCAAGATTACATGCTAGATCCAACCAAGGGCAATCATTGTTTGAAGAACATAGTGGACAGTACATATTAAACAGGTCAAACAAATTCATACTTCACGGTGAACAAGGAGATAATGGTCGCTAACTTTCATGCCAGAAATTCAGTCCATATTAATAAGTATTTTGAAATGCACCTTCCAATTTCAATCATAGCCTAACTATCAAATTGGGTACTATAACTCTAACCATTGGACTCTATAAAATGATAAAAAGTATTCCTATACCGAAACTCTTTAAATGTCAACAAGATAGAAAAATAAATTGTCCAATGATTTATAACAATCTCAAAATGTAACAAATAACAATTTCATTTCATACAATGTTTTGCTTTTAAAAGGTCGGTGACATGCAAATAGCCGATCTATCACACCACCAGCTTTGAAAGCAACTCAAACTATCCCATTAAAAATGAAAAAAATCTAAATCTGTGCATCAATCTTTACAGGAGTGGAATAAGTGAAAACTGGAGTTTCCAAAAGAGATAAATCAGATAAGAAATTATAATTTAACTGACAACAAAAAATAAAAATGGCAAATAATTATCTCTGAAAGAATCAGATTGAGTTGCCTCCAAAATGGTGGAGTCAAGAGTAGAATTAACACACTTTTCTTCCCATGCTAAAACAAAATGCAAGTAAGATCCTTAAAAATGTCTACCTCAGTACATACTAAAAAGGTCTTCTATAACTCTTCTGAACATCTATATAATTAAGATAGAATTTTTCAAAAATTCTCAACACAGATATAAAAAATTTAACTGTATTAAAATAAGTGCTCAATTTAAGACAGTCAATAATGATCAATTAAGTTCAAACTTGTAAAAGAATATCAAAATCATAGTATTTTACTCTCAAGATTGTCCCCATTCACACAGGTATTGAATACTAATAAACAGCAACAAGCAAAATACATTCACATTAACACGCTCAGTCACGCTCGGTGGCACCAGTCTTAGGAGCAGGACGGATTGCTGTGAAGACAAACATCCCAATCTCTCTGTCTGATCTTAAGCTTCTCTTTGACTTCTGCCACCAATTTAAGTTTAGCTAATTTATTTGGTCCTGAATCAAATTGAACATAAATTCAAATCTTCAATAAAAATTATGACATCCCAGGCCAGGCCTTTAGCATAAATAGTTGTTTCTGTAATTCATGCCTACATGCAGCAGGACTTCTTTGATAGAGGGTAAAATATTCAAAAGCTGCTGCTGCTTCTTTTTCACAAGTAATAATAACTATGGATAAGGCTACAAAACAAAACAATTAACTGGTAGCTAAATGATAGGGTAGTTGTTACCCACTATGATATATACTGTAGCTGTCTATCAGCATCATCAGTAACGCAAATATAAAATTTCAGAAAACTAAAATAATTTTGATTCATGTTCAATCAGTAAAATTTAGCTCTAATCATCAAAACAGAAATTTAAGGAAGACAAGCAAGACAGAGAGAGAGGTGGGTCAGTATGCTTCACAGAAAATAGCACTCTTGACAACTGGGCAACCATTGGAGCACACAAACAACCAAATACAGTTACAAAGTTAAAACCCTACATATAAACAAATAAAACTATACTTACAGATTGTTTCTTTGTTTTACAAAAAGGCACAGTACTTTTTCTACACAAAATCTGTTTTTAGGGCAAATTATGTACATAAAATAAGTGATCTTCAATAGCATATTTGGCACTTTAGAGTTGAGCCGCTTGACATGGTGCTTGAGGAACCTCTGCCTGTGTGGTAACAATCCAAAGCCCTTGTGCATTTAATGCTCCTTCTGGAATTTGTTTTGAAAATGAAGTTTTTACCGACCAAAGTGACAAAAGAGAATAAAGAAACAAACATTTGACGAAGTAAAGAGCCTTAAGAATAGTTCTTGTCTTACTATATAGATACCAGATATATGATATTTCCCACTCCTGAAGAAGAAATTGTGCACTTCAATGAATGTTAATAAACAATGCAATTGAAGTTACCAATTTTCACAATATTTGATACTCACGAAGAGGATTAAATGCACAAAGAACTTACTACAAGTTGTTAGTGACAAATTAGCCTTTTGAACAAATAGAGTCAAAGGCAACACACACACACACACGAAGATTCAGTAAGCACGAACACAAGCGAGAGGTCCAGCTTACAGCCATGTCAAAACATTATCGGTCTTGCTAGATGAATTGAGAGGATTGATGAGGGCTTGAACATCTTCTAAGAAGTCATCACTCAGCTGTAACAGAGGAGAAAAGTAAATATAATACACAGATATCAGGAAATTTAATTTGGATGTGATTGATTATCATCACAGATACTATACAGTATAAATAAATGGGAAATGGGGGAGAAAGTGTCAACACTACAGGACAAAATAAGCTAAGGCAAATGTCATTGGCATTGCAATGAAACTGGATCATTTGTGCTCAGTAATCACCAAGAACCATACTACAAAGATGCAAAAGATATGAGACATCAACACCAAACAAACTGTGAGGCTTAAAAGTGTAACTCAGCACATACTGAATCTACAAGGAGGCTGAACAAAAGAACCCCACACCATACTACAATATTTTACAAATGCCAGAGAAGCAAATAGAAATGACAGTGTCTATTTTAAGAGTCAATTAAAATATTTGAAGAACATTTCAAAAAGACAGCAAGAAATAAGAAATATTATATAAGCCAAAGATTATCTTCAAAGTGAATTAAAATCACTTCCGTTTTTCATTCCATAAGCTCAAGAGGAAAATCAAAATACTGTAGCAGCAAACCAAATAAAATGCAGTTATGGCTCACAACTGCAATAACCCTATCAAAGGAAATAATTTCACCTGCTCAGAATCCACTCCATGTGTCTTCATTTAGTAGATCTTCTTGAAACTGCAAAAACATAATGGAAAAATAACAAAAGGGAGTCTATTGATACCCGTGCAGCTTATGAAAGAGTAGGGAAGTGTTGAGTCAGGAGGATAAAGGATTTTCAGGACTTGGAGCTACACTTCTAGACAAGCAAATTTCTAAAATTTATGCTCAGTGAAAGAAAGTGTTGTCTGGAGCACCATTGTATCATATCAAAATGGAAAAACGAGAAAAGATAAAAAAAATAAAAATCTGGGAATTGGTGTTACAGAGCAGCACATTGATACCAAGATTTCCAAGGAATAAAAAAAGTTCCTTTAAATTTAAGGCTTTTATCATCAGAAGAGCAAAATGTTGTTTCTATGAAAAGGTGTCAAAGACGGGTATAGGGTGCTCAACAACTACAACACAAAACAAAACAAAAAAAGCAGGTGAAGACCAACTTACCTGAAGGGATGCTACCAAGTCATCACTTGGGTCAAGGGAGCTGAGATCTGGGGTATCTAATGAGCCACCAACACCTTCTGTAATGAATAACATCATTTAAGATACAAACTAAGAGAAAACCAAGATTATAGACATATAGAAACAGTTTACTTACCGCTCACACCATCCATGTTGTCTTCCATACTGTAAGAAAAGTCTGGAGTATGTGGCAGGGGGCCCAAACCCAAACCACTGTCATTGGATTCTTGGCGAGAATGGTCAGCAAGGCCAAGGAATGGGTCCATGCCTGATGTGGCGATGTCATTGGCATGCTGTCGCATTAATTCTTGCTGTAATAAAAGTAAAAACAATAATTTACAAAAAATTGCAAGCAGTTAAGTTATGTGACATAAAGGAGGAGTTAGTAATCTGAGCTACTGTGTTTTGAGGCATATCTCACAGCTCACATTACAATAAGACATCGAATAAAATGCAGAGATAACAAATGATTGTTGGTCCAAATGAAACTCAAACCAACATGAGCAAGAAATTAAGAGAGTTGGACTTTGGAACACGAACAACCTTTGTCCGGGTGTGAACAAAACACGCAGATGGTAGGAAGTAACATATATCTCCTTCAGAGAGAGAAAGAGTGAGTGAGATATGTAGAGATAGAGATGTGGAGGGAGAGAGAGAGAGAGAAGGAGGGAGAGAGAGAGAGAAGGAGGGAGAGAGAGAGAGAGAGAGAGAAGGAGGGAGAGAGAGAGAGAGAGAAGGAGGGAGACAGAGCTACCAGCTCGGCATGAATACATCACATGTGATGGTGAAATGCCACAAGGTACTACATACTACACGTAGTACTCACCTGGCGCATGATTTCTTGTTGTCGTTGTTTCAGCTTCTCACATTCAAGATGAAGTGATTGCAGACGTTGGTCAGTCTGCAGAGACTGTAATGACTGTGATTGGGTTATAGCTTGCCAGGTGGCAAGAGTGCTTCCAGCACCTGGTGGTCTCTGGAGGTGGCTGGGTATCCGTGGGTCAAACCATGAAGTGCTGTGATTCTTGTGATCTATGTAGTAAATCTCTCCCTCTGGAGTGGCCGCTTCCTCCCAACCATCAGGAAGGGGACCAAGCTCATTTGGGGCTGGGGAGGCTGGCTTGGGTGTGCTGGCTGCAATCAAAAATCATACCCACACATTGAAATGCTAAGTGTCGAAAGGGATTGAAATACAACGTAAAGAATATTTCCCAGACTTACGAGCTTTTGGTAGAGGTGAAACTGCAGGGTGGGGATGTGTCAAAGTAAGGGCAGCTGGTGTGGTGAGAAGCTCTGCACTGCGCTGCTGCTGACGTTGGGCTTGGGCAGCCAATGACTTTCGTGGATCTTCCCAAGTTGTAGTTTGCGTCGTGTGACTGAAACCAAAAGTATAAAATTTAAATTCCGTAAATACAGAAATTTATAATAAACACAGACCCAAGGATATCCATACTGATTTGGTTACTTGCTAACAGAATGCTATATTGCCTGAACCTCTTTCATTCAAGCACGTACAGATAAAATTAAGAAAGTATTAATCGGTGATCAGACGACCTGCTTGCTCTCCCCTGCAGTCCTCTACAATATTAAGTGACAGAACGATTTAAAAATCTCAAAAATCTAGGGGTTAATTAAAATATTCTGATAAGTCATAGAGAGCATTTTCTAGTAACTTTGTCTTGATAGTAGTTTTACACTTTTATAGGCGGAGAGTAGGAGGAGGAGAGGAGGAGGAGAGGAGG